ATACATACATACATATACATATACATTCTTACATACATGCATACATACATGCATACATACATATATATATACATACATACACACACATATATATAAATATATATATATAGATATAGATATATATATAGATATAGATATAGATATAGATATAGATATAGATATAGATATAGATATATATACTACGCATAAAAATGAAGCAGTAAATTATATATAAAACGGTAACATACCATGGCACCGGTACTTTAGTATCACTTCTCATTCTGCAGTCGAAGAGATTATAAGGAGGAATGGTAAATAGTTGGCAATAAGCATATACATATATGCCTACCCTTCTATGGATATGTATGTATAGTCATAATGACCAGATATTGTGACATGTGTTCAAGATACAAATGTCGGCTATATTCAAAGGTATGCACAAACCATGTTGCAATGAATGTCGAACGTTCGGCACAAAAACGGACAGGACAAAACAAAACAAAACAAAACAAACCCCCATCTAAAAAACTACAAGCTTCTATTAGTGCACTTTGATGGTATATGAAACAGATGCGAATTATTTTTGCTTGAAATAGTCGTAACGCTGACCACACACTGACACAGATACACAAGTTATCACACAAAACACACGTCCGTCCAAATTGATACCACAAACAGGTTGTCCTCAATACATACTTATCCGTATTTTGCTTTCGTGGGCATGCAGAAAGGAATGTGCACAAGAGATATGCTAAAATATATACAAATAATATATCAACATGTACATGTATACACTAAATATTTACAAAACCTTAAACCCTACATCGATATGCACGAATGTATGTGAGTATAGACCATCAGCCACATACACCACCCAAAAGTCAAGGAATGGGGTTCAGCTGCACAGAACACGAATACGTACCGTATTCGAAATATTGGCAGACATATACACATGTGTATTACACATGCACATACTTGATATGTTAGCAAACAGATGCAAATAACTGCTATACATTTCAAACTTGATATAGTGGCATATACATGCATACGTATGTAATAGTCATGCACATACGTATAGTGCACATGTACATACTTGATATATTGGCTTACACATATACAGATGCATTATACACACACACATAGACGTGTAATGCATACGTACACATAAGTAACGCACATGTACATATACATATACATATTGTACATATACATATACATATTGTACATGTACATACACATATTACACATGCACATATCCGGAATTCGTAAGTAACATACTTGTAGTATTGGCTCTCATTCTCGACTTCGCGTGACATGCCGAAATCAGCCACTTTCACCACAGGAAAGCCAAACGAATCGGGTTCAGGTTCACATAGCAAACAATTGCGGGCAGCCAAATCTCTGTGAAAAATCCCTTGCTTAGCTAGATAGTTCATTCCCCGAGCAATCTATTGAAATTATGAGAAAGGTATGTTAATATAAAAACAAACATACCCATGCAATATATCTAAATATATATAT